ACACAACGACACATTATAAAGTCATCAGTAAGTTAATTACATTCTCATATTTTATAATTGAAGTGTACATTTATCTGTGCATTGAGCCCGTGTATATTCGATCTCTCTCAAAGGTCAGTAAATGTAAAATCTACTCTCTTGGTAGATTAAAATTCCAATAATATATCATATTTTGAAATTAATTATCTATTAATTTCAATTTCATTCTTATGGAGAATAAAACACCAAAATACTTACTTGAAGAATGAATTTCATAATGATTGATAAAATTGTATTTCAAATTTAACTGATAGCGAGTAGCGCACGAATATTTTTCTCGTCTGTTATTACCAGGAACACCAGGAAATTAATCAACTAATTTTCCAATGATAATGGAATTAATTTGGAATCAATATTGAAACATTCATTATTGATATTTATAATTTGAGATCTTCAGATCTTCAATAACTAGCTAAAATTCTTGAGTTTACTAGTATATCAAAGCCACATCAAAATTTTTCCATGTACATTTTAATCACATAGTTTTCATAATATTGCTGTACCCCACAATCATCACAGGGGTCACACAAATAATTGTATTTCACATCTATCAGGTGTTCCGTGACGGCACAAAATGTTTCAATATATCTTTTTGTTTTCATATTATTTTTCAAAAATTACTTCAAATTATAAACTCAAAAAAGAGCAATAGATTAATCGTACCAGGTTGGTTATACACAGAATTATAATGAAATGAATATTATTTTTACATCAAGGTTTGAACCAATATGTATAAGTATACTTGACCCAACATATCTTCATTCCTGCCTGAACTGGAAAAAACCTAATTTTTTACTATACCCCACACGCTGTTTCAAATAATCCACTTAACTTTTCTGTTTGTGATTTTTTTATTGTTGCAGTATTCAAGAGGAATTTTTTCAATAACAAATTTTTTTTGAATGTTACTTTTCATTTGGAACTGTTGAATTTTCTATTCAAGTCTATAATTTTGGATAACATAGACATAACTATATGAATCACGAAGTGGTTATTATTTTGAGGGAATGAATAATATGACGTTCTTTTACCTTCAAAATCACGAAACAAAGCATCTGCAGATTTTTTATTTTCAATATTCAATTCTGTCACATAATACAGTATGTTATGACAAAATTTTTTGATAAATTAAATATAGAGAGACAAATCGCCAATTAACAAAAATAGTTTCATTCTGGGCATTATAATCTTCAGAATATGAACGATTCTATAATTTTCATCACGTCTATTTTTGGTATTGCTCCTTCGAGGAAACTTGGGAAAATGCAGCTATTTTTATATTGTTTAAGATATCTACTTCTTTTCAAAAAGATTATGCAAATTTACAATTTTCCCAGAATATTTCTTGAACTGATGAAACTCGGAAAAGACATAATAAATGTTACAAAATCATTTCATCACACAATATCATTAGTTGAGAGACCAGTTATAGAAAAAAATATTAACATTTTCCTGAAGCAACCATTTACTCAAATGAATAAAGATATTCAGTATTCTTGACGTTTCAAATCATTTGGGAGACTTAAACTATTGATTTATCACAAAATACACTTTAATGAACCAAAACTCAAATGGGAATAATTTTTTCTGTATCACAGATGGTATCATAACAGTAAAAAAAATGGTAATGTTTTCAGATAGTTGAAGTCTTTCGAAAAAATTATTTGAAAACTTTTCGAAATTTTGCTGATTTTTTCAAATGCAAGAGCCTCAAAAATATTCGTAACTGTAGGACTATCTGGACTTGCATTTCAGAATCAAATTAATTCCAAGGAATGATCATTTTGAATAATATCCACCCACCAAGTAGACCACAAACTAACTTAATGTGCGAACCTTCATTTAAGTTCCCTAGTTTCCTTCGACAAATGAGTAACCTTTAACCACGTACCTGATTATTCAATTTGGTTGTAATCTTAGATTTCGACGTTGTCGGTGATCGAATTTCTGGCAATATTTCAGACTCAACTGTGACAAGGGTCGTGTTTTCATTCATTATCCTATTCTGAGAAACTTTCTCCTGTCTTCACATCACGAGTGAAGTGAACTTCTGAAGTTCCTGGAGTTTGGTTATTCCTTATAACAAATGGAAGTGAGGGGATCATATTTGGAGCTCCTTTCATCTTCATTAATATTCTATTGATGTAGATTTATCTGGAAACGGATTTCAAGCAAGTTTAGTAAATGAGATTTCCGAAAGAATATTGAATAGTATGAATTAACTCCTTTCTTCAACACGCATCAAAAGATGGAGAAACTCCATTTATATATGACTGATACTTTCCCATGTTACTTTAATTTTTCCAAGGATTTTTTATTTTTTTATTCATTTATACGGTATATACTGACAGGAGTCTGTAAGATTATAATGAATTTTGAGGTCCTAGAGCCTTTCAGTACTATATGTCCATTTTTTCTTCGGTATATTATCTCAATGGATTCGAGTTTCGGAGAACTGTGACTTTTGGCAAATTTCATTATTTTTTAAGAAAGTAATTTCTTGATATCACAAGCATTTGTCAATATTTTGCAGGTTAGGCAACCTAACTGCAGTAGTGGCAATTCTCATTTCACGATGTTTCCATTCAAATGGGGTTATAACTTGATAGCTCGTAAATAATTTCTTTGTCAATATCAGGTTTTTTTGATCCAACCAAATAAACTGATCAGCTTCCTTTGGCGATCAGATTTGAATATTTCCGGCCTTTTTGGTGACATCTACTTCTTCAATGCATTCAGTTCCCTTGTGACGTGACAGTCAGAGCGAAGTTACTTCATTTCTTTTTTTTTTTAATTATCTAAGGGGTGTTTCAAATTACCAAGCGAGATCGGTTTCATAATGAAATGGCTTCATATCTTTCAGTTACACTTGCAGTCTACTTCCAAATAAATGATATAGATGCTTCTAAGGTGTAACTCACAAGTACACCTACCCGGTGTATAAATATGTATCAAGGGTTCTTGAGTGACTGGAAATATACGAATTGATATGAAATAAACTGTTCAAATGTATGATTACCAAAAGTTAACTTACAATCGTATAAAATTATTAGACAATTACAAATCTTCGAAAAATAATATTTTTTAGTAACTGGAAAGTATAGTCTGCTCAATACAGATGCTTTTTCAACACAAGGAGTGTTTGAAGCCTTACTATTATTTAACTTACAACTGACAAAAATGAATTCCACAAATTGAAGGGGAAATCAGTTATTGGGGAGGAAAAATTTTGGCTCTCTATGATACTTCTCTATCTTTATACAAAAATCGTGACATAAGTGGATTAAACTAATCCGTGACATACAATCGTAATATTATGTATCAGTTGAGTGCTTTAGATTGTAATATTATTCAGTGTTCCATGTCAGTGAGATTTCACCTNATTTGATATGTAATGTCAAGCACCTCTCTAATTTTTTGATTTTTTTGAAATATTTAAGTTGCTGAATTTTTTAGGTGTACATTTTACGATAACGTTGTCATTGTTGAAATTCATATTCATATTTTAAAATGCATCTTTCGTTTCGTTCAAAACTTTTTTCTCTACTAAATCACGGGAAATTGAAAATATTTAAATATTTCATCTGGAGTACAAAATTTCGCTAAAACTTATAATTCTTAAAATATGTTTGAAATATGTTGATTTTCTTTTGAACAACATATCAAGGAGGTTACGTATAACGCCATCTGCCCGCGAATAGATCAAGAAATATCAATCTTCAGACAATGCAATGAGGTTACGTACAGCGCCATGTGCCCGCGAATAGATCAAGCAATAATGCCGATAATTCTGTCAATACAGATCCCGAGCTTGAGAGTTACAAACAAACATAGGTACATACAAACATACATATATACATACAGGTGAAGCTAATATAAAGCGTGTAATAATAATAATGAAAAACAAAGATAAATATTGTTCATTATCCGACAAACTTTTCATAAGATTACTTTGCATATTTGAAATAGGAATGTATTCCAATTCTGAAGAGTTGTAGTTAACCTGTCGAAATCAGAGTTAGCAAATTTAACGTTTTCAAAATTCATTGCTGTTCAGAAGTCTCATGATTTGCAGGATAGAAAAGTGATATTTTCAGATCATTACTGAAGTGTTGAAATAGTATTTTTTCTATACTTTTTAACTGTAGATAATAGCTACCTAGCAGGCTGTAAGTACAGTTTATCGCCATCGTTACACTATTCGCGCCGAAGCCATAAACACCTATACGTTACGCCTTTGATGAATAACAATATAAAAAGTGAGAGTTTGAAACACGAGCATTGTTGAAACACTTCTCATCAGCCTATTTCTGTTTAAAATCTGTTTTCCAGCTGTCGCACCCCTACGAACGATAACCCTCAGAAATCTAAACTTGTGCGAGCTAAGGATTAACGAGGTCTTATCTTTTAACGTGTGATTCCTAACACGAGTTGGACGATAGCAAATGAAAATCGATCGTTCTTGATGGTGCTTGAACCAACGACCACCACGGCGATCAATTCGAGTGAGTGAACAAAGCACCCACGTCGAACCGACCGGCTACCGATGTACTTAGACAAAAATAATGAATTCTGAAAAAACCCTTCACCAGAAAAGCCTGAGCCCATAGAAATAATTTCGACTAGTGCAAAAATATATTTACTTTTCATATTGGTGCTGTGAGGTCATGTTTTTCATATCAAAATCACAAGTGATAAACAGATTTTAGTCGTCAGTACCAAAAACAAAGCTACAGTGGGAACTTGGTTATGGGTACACCTATATTTAAACTTCAATGTGAACCAATTTTATTAATTTGAATTTTGGAGCATTTCATGGTTCGGAATAAATTCCATTGAATCCAACACTATATTCTAATAAAATTCACAATTCACATGTCTCGATACAACAATTCTTTAATTTAAATTGCCATTTTCACGTTCATCCAAATGAGTGTTCTGATTGTAATATTTCATTGCAGGCTAGAGGATGTCTACCAGCCATGGGATACAGTTTCGCAGCTGGTACTATAGATGGGCCTGGAGAATTTGACTTCAAACAAGCTACTACTACCAGCAACGCCTTCTGGAATTTAGTGAGAGATTTCATTTTTCCTCCTATGGAGGATGATGTTCGTTGCCATGCTCCCAAGCCAATCTTGATCATGACAGGAAGTGTAAGTATCAAATTACTTCATAGAGATTACTTAGGCTCGATGTTGTGGATCTTGAAAAACTATTTCGGTTTAAAGTCCAGTCTCTTTTTAGCCTATCACTATACGGTGTTGTTAAACGATTTTTGGCTAATTTTCCTTCACAAATTCAAATTGAACCGAAGCTACAGTAATCCAGGACTGATACATAACAAACGGGGCATGGAATGGCGGAAGAACTGAGTGTCAGCAATTTTTGATGGTTTTAAAACGTACTCCCTAGACCTTTCGACAACCGACAACCATCATTTCAAGCGCTTCGACAAGTTTCTCACCAGTGAAACTTTTTTCAAGTAGCACCATGCATCGAATCCCGAACATTCAATGATCATGCTGACAAAATTATTCGACTTTTGTTACGTTGGCAAAAGTGCACTGATTCCCTGAGATTTTACAGTTAGGAGTAGACTGATATAAACAGACAAAAATTTTGAAACGACCCAACGTAAAAGTAATTACACAATGTGTGTGGCGCTATATCTGAAAATGAGTTTCGTCACGACCAAAGAAATTGATATGATATAAGTGTATCCCCAATCCACGAACAGAAGAAATTTTTTTTAGTAATATGAGGACTGGGCCTTTCTTCCTCAAAAAATGTCTACAACAGTACAGAACCATTTAGAGTATTCCACAACATTTCAGAACACCAGTTGTAGGTACCTGAAGGACACTGACTGTATCTTATGATGCACTGTTTGGAACCATTGGTGTAGTAATGAATATTACTGGAATTTTTCCCAACACCAAACCGTTATTTTAACACCTCGACCTCGAAGATCAAGTTTGATCTTCCTCTTGAAGATGATCACTTGGTGATCGAAATACGTGTCGATGTGTTGAAATAACGGTTTGGTGTTGGGAAAAAACTCCGGTAATATCCATTCCAGAACATTTTGGAATATTATGAAGTGCCGCCGTTTGTTCGGGAATTATTCGAAAATTTCGATAATATCCGGGGACATCCCAAATTATCATGGGAACTTTCCATTTGCCAAACATGTGGAATGTTCTGGAACATTATGAACCATTTTAAGATTTTTTGGCTGTAAATACCCATTGTTAGAGGTATATTAAGCAAGATTGTTTCCTACCAGTGAAAAGCAATTCATGCATGAACCACAAAGGTTCCTGCCTTCCTCAATGTCAACAATTGCTTGGTCTCAAGTAGAAATTTCAAAATAATTGTACATATGTACCATCTATAACAAAGTGTCTTTTATGGACAGTTATTGTAGTTACAACTGTGGACTTGTTTGAGTTTAAAGGGTTCCACATATTTTCTAATAGCAAAATGTTCTCATGTATTTGTATATCTTTCATTTATAGGAATTTCGTTTCACAAAGTACAAATACTGTGTCATCCTATTCAAGTGAACAGTACTATTATAACATATTTCTCAACGAATGATCGATGCCATAGCTTGAGTTTAGGAAACTTTTTCAATAAATGAACTCATTTGAATAAATCCAACACCATACAGCGCTTTTCCTAACTACAAAACAAAAGTATGAACATATGTCCGTAATAGTTTGGTTTCCAAAATACAGGGCGTTGAAATCAAAAAATAAATGGTATTTATAACATATAAGTGTCCTCAAAAAGATTTGTTTGAAGTTCGAAACAGTACTTTAAAGTAATAGGGAGGTTATTCAACCATTCGTATTTTGGAATTTTCAAATCCAGTGACGCTTCAGTAGGCATCAGCAAAGTAAAACTGCTGTTACTGAAAATATCAAGTAACAACTTTGGATATCTAATAAAAACAAATTTACCACATGATTTCGTAGTATAATGATACGTCTGTTTAGGAACTTTTGATTCAACATCTTTTTCGACCTATCAAGGTCTCATTCTGCAGTTGAAAGCCCGAGGACGAATCTCGTATAGCGATCGATCTCGAAGTTTGGCTTTGAAGCAGACCGCTCTGGGCAGCCTTGTTTATCCTTGATATTCGGGAATTGAGTCTTATGTCGATCACATAGAGGACATCTTCGTAGGGGAGATGGACTGCCTTGATTTTCGGGCTTGTTCTTTTCAGGACAGTTCAGTGATTCAGCTCAGCCCCACTGATGAAACGGATCGAAACGGCGCCGTTTGGTGTTGATCAGAAGTTCATCGATAATGGAGGTTATTGAATAAAAAGGTCTCTGTTCACTATATCGTACTAAACCATGATCGTAAACGTACCGGCTCATGCTGAAAAATATTCTTTCAGAAAATTTATATGAACCAACGCCAACTAGATCGTTTCGTCACCGGTCTGGTGCGTAGCGTAGCATGCACGTGCCATCACAGTATTCCAGACGAGAACATTATGCCGGTGCTGATACGCAACGTGCATGGCACGTGACGTTGCTAAATCGTAGGTCTCCGGCAGCGAAACGGTGTATAAACAGGTGGTAAATCATTTTCAATTTTGAATTTCACTAGTTCGGACTTCCATTGTCTACTATATAAAATTATTTGAAATCCCTGAAACAAGTAAAAAAGAATAATTAAAAAAGGATAGCTGTCAGGGATTTCAAATCATTTTATATAGTAGACAATGGAAGTCCGAACTAGTGAAATTCATCACGAAACATTGTCAATCACCTTCAAACAAATTTTCAATCTTATTCAGCAATACATTCCATTGAATATAGACATTCTAAAATACTGAAAAAAATGTTCCTCGTCATCAACTGAATGTCTAAATAATGTTCAATATTGTTCTTTACTTTCTCGTTCTCTTGAAAAGTCGTGAATCCAATAGCGTCGGGTCTTTTTTTGAGTTTCTGCTTCTTCATCGCCCAATGCCAATTGTTGAGCAGATAATCTCATAGCCATATTTAATCAACCTGGTAAACTCTTCTATACGTTCACACTACACTGATGAGTAAGTCGGAATAACATACAATACTTCACATTACCTAACGTTGTCAAAGGGGTATCTAACGATCATCATACCCGTATGATACGGTCATTATACGTGTTGCTCACAGGCTTAGAACACGGTTGATCCATTACAGTGGGCAAGGTAGACAATGTCGTGTTATTTTCCGTGTCTGATACGGTCCTAGCACGGCCATAGTTGGTACGGCAGAGACCTTAAGTGCCATTGAAATAATACCTAGTATTACTCATTGTGTTTACATATCATTGTATTCTAATTTCAAAACGATATCAACTACCTGATATGA